CCAACTCAAAAAAAAAAAAAAAAGAAAGGTCATTTGCCCAGAAGCCACAAGTGATCATCTGGGCAAACAGAGTCAGTGCTTCTGAGCCAGGGTCCATGGAGACCCTCCTCAATAACTAGTTCCTATATCTAGGGGTTCCCTCCCTCTGATCTGCATTCGGAACATATGGGGGATGGACGTGTGTGGAATCCACAGGTCTTCAGTAAGTTTCATCGTGAGTAACTCATGAAGAGCATTCTGGGGTGGCACACACAAACACTGCACTTGGACCTCTCTCCAGTTTTAAAGAGCAGGCGTTACAGAGGCTTCTGCCATCCTATTCTAGCCAATGGCACACAGAGAGAAAAACATGTCTTGTTCAGACCTCTGTGCAGAGAGGGACCTTTTACATGAAGCTGCCTTCGCCAATTCCTAAACAGAAGACCAGAAAGAGGTCAAATAACATTTTCTGCCCATCATTCGACTGCCAGTTACTAAACTAGGCATTTTCCATACATAAGTTATTTTAATCCTATCAACCACTCCAGTATTATTTCCACATTACCGTGAAGAAAACAAGCCCAAAGAAGTTCGTGTCATTGTTAATGATGGCAGTACTGGAATTTGAACTCAGGTCTCTGTGGAGGACCTAGAATAACATTCTGACCCTGATGTGTCCATTTAAACTTTTTTCTCATTGGTAATTTTTAAATTGTTCACTTAGAACACACATTTCTTTGACACCTTCAGAAACCCCACAGCAGAAGAGTCCTCCAAATACATTAGTTGAGGGCAGTCTCAACAGGAAGGGAGTTTATTCCTTTCCTGAAGTGCCTGGTACTTAACAGTAAGTCCCTCGGCAATGACACCTTGACTAGGCACAGAGTCTCTGCATTTCTCCAGAGAAGCCCAGGGAACAAAGTGAGAAAGCAAGGGCTCCCTCCAAAACTGGCTGCTGAGCTGCTTGGCAGAGTTATCCACTCAACCTCGTGCAGAATTCAACCCTCCCCACCGGCCCCCAGTCCCAGGTGTTTTCTTCTGGGTATCCATCACCCCTCCTTCCTTCCTGCTGCTTCTGCACTGACCTCTCCCTCCGCCTCCTTCCCCTTCTCCTCTTTCAGCAGCCCAGAACCAGCTTCCAGCGCAGGGCTTTGAAAACTATCGGTTTACGTGTTGTTGAATGAGGACAAACCTGACTGATGGAGCGATCACATAGAGGAACGATAGGAAGGAGGTGAGCAGTCCCAGGGCGACCAGCATCTTGCCAGCTTCTTTAGTAGCTGCTGCCCGCGTCAGCACCGACTCTGACGACTCTGGTGCGGGCTCCCGGTCTAGCTGGGCTCCTGGCAGCTCCTGCTGCTCTCCTTCCTCTCTCCTGGGTACTCAGCAGCAGCCTGACTCTCAGCAGAGCCCAGAATCCTATTTAAATCCGAGAACTGTCAGAGCACAGCCTGCTGGGAAGTGTAGTCCTGACCAGTAAGGGATGTGAAAAGTTAGAGCCTTAGTTACACTGACTGGCAAAGAGAATGTGGGGAAACTGGAGCATGGACCCCAACTCCCCCACCCCCGATTATTTCTCTCATCTGGGGAATGTGTTCTCCCAGCCAACCCCATTTCTACTCCTGCGAAATAGAATATATAGAATATTTCTAACTTTAGCAACAGACCCCATGACGCTTGAAATGCAAGTGTGATTAAAATAGGATGGAAGCCGGGCTCGGTGGCTCAGCCTGTAATCCCGAGCTTTGGGAGGCTGAGGTGAGTGGATTGCCTGAGCCCGCAGGTTTGAGACCCATCTGGGCAACTTGTTGAGACTTCATCTCTTCAATAAATCAAAAAATTATCTGGGCGTGGTAGTGCACGCCTGTAGTTCCAGCTACTCGGAAGGCTGAGGCGGAAGGATCGCCGGAGCCCAGCAGGCGAGGCTGCTGTGGCCAGGAGCGGCCACTGCACTCCAGTCTGGGCGACCGAGTGAGACTCCAACTCAAAAAAAAAAAAAAAAAATAGGATGGGGAAGAAACTCCCAGCAGGATGGAGGGAGAAGGCAGGACAGTGGGGAAGGGGCAGTGACTGGGCTCCTGGGGAGTAGGGAGGGTTCTGGTCTTTGATCTGGGTGCTGGTTTCACTCTGTGAAAATGTGTCATCATACATTTTTGATGTATGCACTTTCTTGAATTTTGTGTTATACGTCAATGAAGTTCACACACACACATGTATATTACAAGGAAAGGGCATAGTGTTTAAGTGCCTGGCCTATGGCACTGGACTCCCTAGTACAAACCCCAGCTCATCTATTTACAGCTCTGAGGCCCTGGGCAAGTTACTAAACCTCTCTGTTAACTCAGTCTCCTCAGCTGTATAATGAGCATGATAAAACATGTACCCACTTGTTTTAAGTATTCAGTTACTAAATCGGTGGAAAATTTGAGACAGAAACTAGAATATACTAAATGCTGTATAAGATTCAGCTGTTACGACTGGCTGTATTGATTCCTGTCTCCCTTGCTTTCCCACTTGCTTTACTCAAGGGTCTGCTGTAGCAAAGGGAAAGCATTAATGTGGGTGATGTTTCAGGTGAATGCTATTAAAGATGAGGGGAGAGACAAGAAAGAAGCCAGCAAAAACTCTGAAGAGACTCTGGATGTGTGTGAGGGGGCAGGAGGAGGATAAGTGGAGTTCACTGCCCTCATTCACTCAGCGTTCCTGCTGAGACAAGACTCCAGGAATCATGCTCCCATTCTGTTCCTGTGAAGCCAGAGTAGCCTCCAGGCATATGTGTGCATGAAAGAAGACTCTTGGGGCAGGCAGGTGTTCCCCCCACATCCATCACTCAACCATCCTCTCAACATAACACTTACTAAGTGCCTCTTGGCACTAGGAATTGTAACAAGTACTAAAAAGACACAGTTCCTGCTCCTTGGGAAGTGCATGGACCTGACCAACAGAACAGAAAGTGATCCGATAATTCCCAGGGGAAGCTTCTTACTCAAATCTAAGATCTCTGCATTTGTGAAGATAGTGCTCAACTTGTCTTAAGCTTGTCAGAGAGGCAAACAGTTCTAAAGGACAGCACATACTCCTCTGGAGAGAAGATATTAGAAGAAATATAAGGTATCTAGAATTACAAAACTACGCAAATACTTGGCTGAAAACAATTGTTAAATATTATGATCCAAAAACTACCATCAAGATCACTGATTCATTCTACCAAAATGTAAAATTGTACCATGAAACTATAATAATTTAAACAGTTTGGTATAGGTGAGTGAATAGACAGATGAATCTATAGAACAGAATAGAAAGGCAAGAAAGAGACCCAAATACATTTGGGGATTTAGATGTGATAAAAATGCCACTTCATCACTCATAAGCAGTCCCTGAACATTTACCATAATACTATAAGAAAGGGATTGGTAGTGGGATACTTCCAGGGTGGGGGAGAGAGGCACATAACATTAATAAGGCTACCTGATCTCAAACCAGGCAAAGTGGGGACCAAAGGGAGGCCTAAGCTTTACCTGTATGATGTCTGCTTGTATACCTATTCCTAAATTGTACTCCACATATTCAAAATAAAACATATATTTATAAAATATCATCTCAAATCAGTGGACAAGAAAGATGAACATTTAGTAACATACTGTAACACCTAGGTATCCAGTTGGGAAAAAGTAAGCTTGCTCCTTCCAAAATTCTAATAGATCAAAGATATAAATATGAAAAATGAAATCAGGCCAGTTACAGTGGCTCACACCTCTAATTCCAGCATTAGACCAACCTAGGCAACATAACAAGACCTCATCACTACAAAAAACAAAAATTAGCTGGGTGTGGTGGTGCACACCTTCAGTTCTGACTACTCAGGAATCTGAGGTGGAAGGATTGCCTGAGCCCAGGAGCTTGAGGCTGCAGTGAGCCATAATTGTACCACTGCACTTCAGCGTACGCTACAGAGTGAGACCTCGATTCGAAAAAAAAAAGGGAAGGAAAGAAAAATGAACCCATTAAAGTATTAAGAAGAATCATTGGATAGATTCTTAAGTAATTTTAGACTGGTAAGACTTTTCTAGGAAGATGGCAATCCAAATTTAATTTTTTTTCAATTTTAAAAAAGTTTTGCATAACAAATTTACCACACAAAAGGGAAGATGAATGAAAAGCTTAGGGGAAATATTCACAACATGTGTTGAAGACAAGAGTCTAATTGATTTAATATATAAAGAACTCAGCCGGGCTCGGTGGCTCAGCCTGTAATCCCATGCCTTTGGGAGGTGAGTGGATTGCCTGAGCCCGCGGGTTCGAGACCTGCCTGGGCAACTTGGCGAGACCTCATCTCTACAATAAATCAAAAAATCAGCCGGGCGTGGTAGCGCATGCCTGTAATTGTGGCTACTTGGAAGGCTGAGGCGGAAGGATCGCCAGAGCCCAGCAGGTCGAGGCTGCGGTGGCTGGGAGCGGCCACTGCACTGCACTCCAGTCTGGGTGACAGAATGAGACTCCAACTCAAAAAAAAAAAAAAAAGACCTGCTAACCTACAGATCATATTTTGCAGGCTTCCAAAGTCACCTGGTGAATGTCTTATGATTCAGGGTTTATCTTATCATGTGTCTTATCTTATCATGAGTCCTTCTGATCTTACGGTGAGTTCCTCATGCTGTTGACATACTGATTAATACATAACATACTGACATGGAAAATGACACTGATTTATTTCTAAATCATGAACTTTCATTTGTTTCTAAATCATGACATTTTACTGACTGTCTTGTGTGTAAGACATGACAGTGTCTTGCCTGTGTGTTGTCACCTGTAGCTGATGACTGTAACCTCTGTACTGCAGCCCATGTGTTGTCATTTGTAGCCCATGACTAACATCTGCATTGTACCTTCCAATGAAAAAGGACAACTCTGATATGAGGAACCGCCCTCTGATCTCTTAAACTTTCTCATAAAAGTCTTCCAACTAGTAACAGACTCTGGAGCATGCCCAGCTTTCTTGGCGTCAATCCTCACATTTGGCTTCCAAAAAACTTTTATCAGACCATTTCTGCCTCAACAGCCTTAGTTTCAGTCAGCAAATCATATCACTTTGAAACAACTTATGTGTTTATTTTTGTTAAATTAATCATCACAAATCACAGAATAAAACTATTTTCCAAACCCTTCTCGAACACACTTTACCACAGAAGCAAAGCCATCATCATCACCCACTTCATCATTTTCATCAACATCGAAAAAGTCACAGACCAATCTGATACTTGCTTTTTAGGAACTTTCCATCTGAGACAGACATAGAAATAAGTCTTAGAGAGAAAGAGAAGAAAACACCAGAGGAACCAGAGCAGGAATGGACCTGAAATTTGGCAGTGATGAAGCAGTCATCACTTGCAACACCTTTGAGCAGGGTCATCTTCCAGCCACAGGTGAATCACAGGTAAGGTTAGGAAGTCAACTGCCCTCCCACAACTGACACTGAGCCAGGGACCCATGAGATCATGTGCTATGAAGCAGAGCTGACTGTACCTTTGGTCAGAATTCAACACGTGCTGTCATATTGCAGTGACCACCTGTTCATCCCTGACATGGTAACCTCATTCAGAACAAAGCCTCTTACAAATTACAACTGGAGAAAGAACTTTAAACCTCTCTTTCTATTCCTCCATTCCTCCTTTTCCCCTCCCCCAGTCTCCAAATCATAGGTTTGGGAAGCCAGAAGAGACGAATGGAAAGTCTCAAATCCAGTTTTCCTATTGTTGCCACCTGTGCCACTTCCCTGAAAGGGCCCGTATGTGATTTATATTAAAATCATTTATGATATATGTGTGATTATGTTAAAATCTTGTGATTTCATTTCCAGCCACTAGGAACCTGCTGCCCTTCTCATATCCCTAAACCTCCAACAGCAAACCGAAATGAGAGCACATTTGTGTGTATCTGTTTTACTCAATCATAATATTGTCTTTTTTCTTGATTTTCAAAGGTGAAATGAGCACATTATCTTTCTCAAAGACAAAAAAGTTTGCTGCTAGTATGTAACTTCCACTGGTATTCCCCCTACCTTTAACCTGTAGCAGGCACTGTAGATATTGGAAGTCCGGTAATTCTCTCCTGAGGGTGAGGGGTTGCTCTGTGTGTTGGAGGATGTTTAGTAGCATTCCTAAGATCCCTGTAGCACTACTACCCCCTTGTGACAACCACAGACATCTCCAGACATTGCCAATGGGCCACTATGGGGCAGAATCGCCCCTGTTCAGTTGTCTGCTCTCTAGAATGCAGGGCCTACAGGATAATCCTGGTATGTGTATTATTGAAAAGCTTTAGAGCACAGCAATGCTTCTCCTGGTATCCCTTTGACTCAGCTCCAGCCAAGCCAACCTGCTTACTGTCTATAGCAAGTAATCAAGGCCCCCTCAGAGTCTGGGATGCAGCCATCTACGAATCCTTTTGTCCTTCAAAATTTTACCTTTACCCTGCTGAACTCTGTCTACCTCTGACCACTCTACTGTAGGTGTGCTGAGATCTGTACACACATATACTTCAAAACTCCACCTTCCATGAGTGACTTTGTGGGGTGATGGAAATGTTCTGCTTTGGTATGGATTTGGGTTACATGAGTCCATGCATTTGTCAACACAGCAGATATACACTTAAGACTTGTGCAGTTCACAAGTCTTTTGGTGTATATTGAGCTCTAGTTAAAGTTCTTAGAGGAGTCCTGATATCTGTAATTTACTTTGACATGCATTAATAAAATAAGATGGTTTGATGGATAGAGGTATCTGACTATACTTGTTTTATATATGTGATAAAAATAAGTATAGTAAAATGCTCATACAGAATCTAGGTGATGGATATATGGATATTTACTGTAAAATTCTTTACCTATTATGAATGTTTGAAATTTTTTCAGATTAAAATGTTCTGAGGTAGTTGCTGTCAAGGACTGGGAGATTCAGTGATCCTGGGATTTTGGTTTCATCACCTTCACCAACCTAGAGCATCCCTCAGATGTCATGAGAGCCATGAATGGAGAGTCCCTGGATGGTCACCAGATCCGTGATGACCATGCAGGCAAGTCTGCCCCAGGGAACCAGAGGGGGTGCTTTTGGGGCCCGTGATCATGACTACTCTAGAGGTGGTGGGGACCAAGGCTATGGGAGTGGCAGATATGACAGTCGACCTAGAGGATATGGACATGGATATGGACGGTGCAGAGACAATGGTGGCAGAAATCACGGTGGTTATGACCGCTACTCAGGAGGAAATTACAGAGACAATTATGACAACTGAGATGAGACATGCACACATAATGTAGATACAAAAGGAATAACACTTCTGATCCAGGATCGTCCTTCCAAAATGGCTGTATTTATAAGAGATTTTTGGAGCTGCACCGAAACATCTGTTTTTATTATACCAACTTCTATTTTTCAATTGCACTCCCAAGGTAGCTTATTAAAGACCTTTTAGAAAGCTCCACGTGTTTTAAAAAATTTCTCTCCCATGTAAAGACAAATTCTAGGACATTTGTAGAGTCTGGGTATTTTTTCTTTGATGAGTTTTTAGTTTAGGATCTCAGGATTATTGGTTCTAGCAATCATGGGTTCTGGCAAGTTTGGCCAGATTGATAAAAATTAACGTGTATCTGCTGGGGCTCGGTGGCTCAGCCTGTAATCCCGCGCCTTTGGGAGGCTGAGGTGAGTGGACTGCCTGAGCCTGCAGGTTCAAGACCCACCTGGGCAGCGAGACCTCATCTCTACAATAAATCAAAAAAATCAGCCGGGCATGGTAGCGCATGCCTGTAATTCCGGCTACTGGGAAGGCTGAGGCGGAAGGATCACCGGAGCCCAGCAGGTCGAGGCTGCGGTGGCCGGGAGCAGCCGCTGCACTCCAGTCTGGGCGACAGAATGAGACTCCAACTCAAAAAAAAAAAAAAAATAAAAAATATATATATATATATATATATATATAAATTAACGTGTATCAAGGAACATTTAAAAAAATTTGTATACAATGTTTATTATGGTTATGAAGCAATTTCAAAATCTACCTATAAGAAATCTGCCTCAAGAACATGATTACCTAGGGGCGTATTTTTACTCAATATCACCAACCTGGTTATATAGAGGAGCTTCCTTTTTTTTTTTTTTTTTTT